CAATTGTATCTATACGGACTGAGGAGTTTGAGGCCCTTTTCTCTTCGGAACATTTCGTGAGAATTTCTAGAGAGAAGATTGACCAAGCGGAATAGTCGCTAGTAGAAAAAGGTGATACTTTTTTCGCACTAGACCTATGGCAGGGGTGATTGGGATGATTGTTGTGTTCAACGACAAAGGTATCGAAATAATTCAACGCTTGGTTGAACATCTGGCATATCAGGAATACGATAACGGGACTCTTGTGAAATTTGAAGATCATTTAGATTTTCGCATTGCAAAATGTGCCTTGCGGGAGGAAAACGTCGCACACGAGGTGTTTGAATTCACAAAAAATAATAGGCGCCATTGTATCTATCATACGAAGATCGAAGACGTTAATACAGTTCGGAGTTGAAGTAAGTTTTTGTTACTTGTAATATTCAGTCAGAGTTATGTTTTTGAAGACTTTCCTATTTTCTGTACGTCCGCCATCTTGTGCACATTGAATGCGCTTTATGACAGGATCTACAGTAGACCTAGGACATTGTTCACGTAATGGAAGGCACCTGGACCTATTCAAAGTTTGTTGGGAGGGATTATTTCAATATTAATGTATGGCTTAAATATATTAGCATCGTTAAATACAATGAATTCATCTTCAAAGTTTCTCGTATTCATCGAAAAAAAAAGAAAGAAAAAAAAGACAAAAATTTGCATTCGGCCTACAACAGTAATCCTTGAACATTAAGGAAGAAATGTGTGAGAAGTATTTTTTAGAGAAATGTGTTCTGGGGAGACATTTTACGCAATAATTTAAATATACCTGCCCCTACCACCCAGTACATGTACCAGCATTATATATTTCAGTTCCTTAAACAGGCTGTACGTATGCACTTATTTCAAATAAACACTAAATATTAAGTAAATCTTAGGTTTTTATTGATTGTAGATCACTTTTGTATATGTATTCCTAATGAATTATTTCTGAACTATTTTTCCTGCTTGGAGATATGCCTGTCTGACAGTGTATAACTTTGCAAGCTTTATATCAAGCAATGAACACCTTTACAACAGAGGAGCTACCTGTTGGAATTGCCTTGTTTGTTTGTGACATGGAATTCAGTCAGGCAATTTCATTTTGTAATGATTTTGCTATGGATGTGATGGACATGAATGTGTATATCTTCAATGCAATACTATTCTTTGACAAGAAAGAATTGCAAGATTGCCAAATATTTTGTTTTCAAAATCAGTTTGATGTCAAGTTCTTGTGCTGAATTTAAATAACTGTTTTATCAATCTTGTATTGAAGGCATTTAATTTGCTGAATTCAGTTTTAGCAGGTATGAAATAAGGACATAGACTTTTTTTCTTTTTCACATTTGTTGGCAGGATATATCAAGTATTAATTACTTAATGGTTTCACTGAATTAATCTAGAAAAGTTAAGATTTGTTTTTGTTGTTTTATAAAAGATTCTGCATATGTTCTTATGGCAATAATACAATGCCTTCATTTGATGCAGAAAACACCTTACAGTATTTATATTATCTTCTAGTCTTGCTAGAAATGAGTAATTTCTGTTTTGCACAATATGATTATACATTTGCATCAATTGATTAATCAGTTTCATTAGATTTTTATTTCCCGCTTTCAGGGAAGCTGGGGATATTAATTTGGACCTGTCTGTCAGTCTGTCTGTCACACTTCGTTTCTGTGTGATAGCTTCAGTTTCTCTAGGTCGATCAACCTCAACCTTCATGCACAGGTTTCTTATTGAAAGTGCTTGCTTTGGAGTGCTTTTCAACTGCATAGGTCAAAGATCAAGGTCACTGTTACTGTAAATAGAAAATCAGTTTCTGTGCAATGACTTGAGTGTCCTTAAGCTGGTCAATCTCAAACTTCATACAGCAGTTTCTTACTGAAAGTACTTGCTTGGAATTGCTTTTCAGCTTCAAAGGTCAAAGGTCGAGGGGGCTGTTGCTGAAAGCGGGGAATAGAATTTCCATGACTTAGCTTGTTCAATAATAATCAATAATCAGCCCATCACTATAAACAAGCTGTGCTTAGGCATTCTATAAAATTTTGGAATATACCTTAAATAGACCAAATATAATACCTAAATAGATTTAATTTAAACTCAGTACACAGTTTGTTTTGAAAAGATAACATACATTTGTTTCAACGATGATTCTAAATATGGCACATCATGATTTCACTGGTTTTGATATATTTTAGGGGAAAAACAGCAACAGATCATGAGCTTCTTTAAAAAAAAAAAGAGAAATGGAGCATTTGGGTGAGTACTTTGTTAAAGGATGTTGAGATTGATCTCCGAGATATATGTAGCATCTAGCTTTAGCAACTATTTAAATATTTTATCTTATTTAAAGGCCTTTCCAAAGCTCAGCTATCTGAAAATCCATGAACAGATAAGACAGAACAGCGGTAGGTCTACAATTCTTCTTCAGTAATAATTCATTTTCTACCTATATACCTGCAAATTCATGAATTATAAAGTTTACAAATTTGCAATGCAATTTACTTGGTTTTTAGATATACTGATGTTTAAAACTATCAGTTTTTACGGAAGTTTTGTTAGAGATCTGTATAGGCCAGTTAAGTTATTTTCTAACCACTTTTGTATGGAAAAATATGCTTTCCTTTTGCAGATTATGATGAAGTTTCTAGAGAAGACAAAAGTTGTAACCAACATGGACGGTAAATACACTATGTAACATTACAAGGTGATTGGAATGTAATGAGAGTGGCAAAATGCACAGACAAAATAGGGTTGGAACCCAGGACCTTACAAATTCTATATGAATGCTCAACCAATTGAGCTAACTGGTCACTGATAATTTCTAGTGTCTTGAAGTACTTGTAAGAACAGTAATGGCAAAAAATTATCAGTTAGTTAAAAATAATACACACAGTCAAACTTGTAATAGCTGACACCCTTATATAGTGGTCACCTGTCCATAATGGACAACACAAGGAATCCCCAATGATAAATCATATATAATGTAATATATATAGCAGATACCCCCTGAATGCGGACAACGGACACTTGGTTTTGTTAGGAAGTTGTATAGCGTCTGTATAGTGGACACATAATATTTCCTTGCCATGATGAAGTTATTGTCTGTATCTAGCCTATAATACAGGTAAAAATGTTCATTTCTAGTAATTAACCTGTTTGATCATGTGAGAAAATAGTACAAATGATTTGCTACATGAGACATTGCGTATTAAAATTAAATGTAATAATAGTTCTTTCCACTTCTCCGATAAAGTTATATTTCATAGTAAGATTAACCAGAAAGGGCACGAGAGCACTTGAATTAAGGCAGAAATTATTCGGGAAAATGATTAAGACCATAGTTTTCCTCGCCATCTGTCCATGTGTCCACAGAAGTTTATCAGCACTCTAGCACTCTTTCTTGGATTCCCATCAAACTTCACATACTTGTACATAATTAAAATATTTTAGACGAGTTAGAGTTTCAGGGTTGTAGGGTCAAGGTCAAGTTCACTTCCTATTTTTTGAAAATCATTGTTATCGTTTTTTCATGGATTTCCATCAAACTTCACACACTTGTACAGAATTTAATGTGGACGAGTTTGAGTTTATGGGTTGTAGGGTCAAGGTCAAGGCCACTGTTGCTATTATGAAAAAAATTTATTGTCATTACTGTAGCGGCTTCGTTCTTTCAGGCAAAACAAAAATATGTTTGTTTCGGGAAACATGCCAGAAAAAATTAGGGTAGGTTGGTAGGGTTTTTTTTTTCAATTTTTCTTTTGATGGGGTATGACATTTCACTAACATAGTTTTTTGCCTGTAAATAATGTGATTTATAGTTGGTTTTGAAGTGGTGAGCATAACACAGTGTTTTGACTATTGTGCAAGTTTTAAAATTTTTCACTGTCACTTTTTGTCAGTCAAAATGGTAATGGTCGGAGGTAAAAACTAGGATAGGTTGGGGTACCTGAAACATACATACTTTTATTTTTTGACTTTTTGGATTTCACACACATCACACACTTGTACAGAATTAAAATATCTTTGATGAGTTCGAGTTTCAGGGTTGTAGGGTCAATTTCAGGTCAAGGCCACTTGCTATTTTTAGAAAATCATTGTTAACTATCTAGATGCTTCAGTTCTTGATGAAATTTCATCAAACTTAACACATTTATTAAGGATCAAGACAAGTTAATGTTTTAGAGTTAGGATTTGAGTGTGTTTACATGTACTGTTAAATTTTCTTGCCTTATCATTGTTACATTATAATCCATTATGAATAAATTGCCTACCTCTATCATTGCATCTTAGTAGCTTGCGTCCCCGGGGCCAGTAGGGGACAAGCATTGCTTCAGCAGTACTCAGTTTGCTTGTTTTAATTAACTTTGGATTATGCGTAAGGCTACACTGGTTCTATTTCAGAAAAACAGATGGGGGCTGCAAGACTGCCATAAAGGTACGTAAAATTTTAAGTAAAGATTGTAAATAGTTTTCAGAGCATTATGTACTAATTTGTGACATGAAATTCAGGTTGCTTTGAAGGGGTGACTCCTTTTGATAAAGATTGGAAAATTTACATAAATTGACTCATTTGGTTGGCTTATTGAAGTTCAAGGTATTATGATCTTTTTATGTACAGCATCACTCCTATATTACCAAACCATCACTCCATGCATGTATATAAGCTTTATTTCAAATGTAGATATGCTTGTTATGATCACTTTGCAAGTTAAAGATATACCTATTATCCTTTGCTATGATCTGTGGATTTATCAGTATCCATTTATAATGATTTAGAATATTGTGAGGTAAGCAAAGTGAGATCTACACATATTATTTACTTTCCCCCAAGAGTGGTGTCCACCTTGGCTTTGCCTTTGTTACTGCCTTGCCTGAAAGTAAAATACAGCACATCTATGTTTTAAATATATTTCAAAAACTTTTAGGATGATATACGTCATAAGAGAAGTGGTAGGAGTAGGATAACACCACAAAAGATGGCCCATATTTGGCTTGGAAAAGAAGAAGACCCAGAGGGATTTAAAATTATCTATATCAACCCAGTGAAAGGTACAGTTTGAAAGATATACAAATCTTGTTGCTGAACGAGATACTGAAGTGAATTTGGGGCCCATAAGGTCCCGTAAGGGAAATTACTTAGCCATTTTCCAAGTTTACGTTTTGGTTTTTTACACAGATGAATAGTTTTTATGACCTTTTGAAGCAAATTGATGTTGGTTAGAATTGAACAAAGAATCATTTTAAGCAGAGGTCAAGGTAAAACTGTCTCAACTGCTAAGATTTTGCTATGACATTATGAAGCAAAGCTGATTGCAATCAAATAGCAGGGATAAATTGACCATAGCTCAAGGTCATGGATCAAAGGTCAAGGTTAGATTTTGTATCTTTTAACTGCTTAACATTTTGTTATGACATTATGAAGCAAAGTTGGTCACAATCAAACAAGAGTTGTAAAAAAATTCATTTGATTTCTGTAAACATTTCATTATGACATTGTTGCAAAGTTGGTCACATACAAAAATGATTGTGCATTGAATGTTTTAGAGCAATCATGTAACAGTTTGGTCAATTTATATTGTTTCTTGATATTTTTGTGTGTGTATTCTCTTTCAATTATTTTGATTCTGTATTAAGTTTCCTCATTTCCTGCCTCCTCGACAAAAAAACAGGGTAGTTAGGTCGGGAAAATTTTTTTTTTTGATTTTTGTTGTTTTTTATTGGGTATTTTTTGGGTTTTTTTTTTCTGTTTTTTTTTTCAAACTTCTATATTCTACATGCCTTAACAGATTCATATTCAGTAAAACCAGCTAACAGTAAAATACACTTAATAATTCTGTAAACAAATATGATTTTAAAAATATAATGATGAAAATTACTGTCCCTGAAAATAGTCTGGATATCGGTTCCATGTATTAGAATACCCCAAACTAAAAAAAACATGGCGGACCCCAATATGTGCTTGCAGACTTTTTGAGAAATGAACATTACTTTCTGCATTACACAGGTACCCTCTTGTGGTTAGTATTGACATTCATTATTATTTATGTTGTGAATAACATTATTTATGCTTGACAGCCCAATTAATGCATGCCCATGAAAATCAACAGATCATCTTTGCATAAAACAGTAAAGAAAGGATACTCAATATCCAGGAACTCTTGTATCTGTTTATTCTTAAGAATAAACAGATACAAGAGTTCCTGGATGTTGAGTATCCTTCCTTTACTGTTTTATGTTTACATATTCTAAGGATCTCTATTGAATACCCTGTGGTATCCATCTAGGAACCATACCGCAATCTAAGACTTCAAGAGTGTTGGTTCTCCAACTTTGTTTTCTCCTTCCAGATCATCTTTGGAACAACAATCAACATAAATGCCTCTATGAGTTTTGATAGACATTGTAGTAAAATGTACATAGAATTTACTTATTTTAGATGCAAAATGGTTATTCTTATGAATATAGGGTTGAACAGCAGCATTGCTGTGAGTTATAACATACTAAGAACCTGCAATGATATCCGTTAGCAAACTAGAAACTTTATTGAAAGTCAGGACCCATGTGCAGGAGGGGGTGTGAGGCTGGAGAATTTTGAATATTTGACAGGTGTGCAACATCAATAAAAATATCAGGGTTGGGGGTAAAATTAAGGAAGGCAGGAAACAGAACAATTGTTTGGTTTAATTTCCGAACTAAATTTTCTTATTTTTATTGAATATATCTGAATACAAGATATGTTATTCGTCTGTTGAAAACAGGACGCATTGGTCAGCCATTTTTGTTGATTCTCGTCCAGGTCGCAAAAATGCTTGCAACTATATAATTTGGACAGCAATTTCAGATTTTGTCTTGCTTTTGAAATATGAGGACAGCAATTTTTTGGGGGGCGTGGACAATAAAATGCTCTCATAGGCAGGTATAATGGGCACATGGCAGTGTCTGAGAACCAAAACATTTTTTGTTGCAACATTATATGCCTGAAAATATACATGGGTAAAACAATGGCAGACATATATAATTAACTTTTATGCTATTGGTGGTGAAAATAAGTCTACATTGAATTGGTTAAATAACTTTACACACTACACAATTACCTGTGGCAATCTTCTGCCTGACCAGTCTTTATTGTTATATTTGGTATACAGTTAACCTGTACTAGTCCAATTATCAGTAGTTATTGGCTGCAATTAGGGTCAGTCCAGATCTGCTATGCTTGGGGCATTTTCCATTTATTTTTCAAACAGTCAACAAAATCATAGATCACCAAAAGGGGAAAGGCGCAAGGCATGTTATGCTATTCTGTACAATTACTGCCATGCTAGCTGGAACACTCCTATTACTCTAGCTTGTTTTTCAATTACCGGTAGCTATGTTGCATACAGTAAATGAAAGTCTTTTTAGACTAAATGTTAAAGGTGGCATATGTTATATGTGAAGATATAGACAATGTTATGAATGAACATTTGCAGTTGTATCCTAATTAAGTTTCACAGTATGCACAGGGATTTGGACATTTGCCTGAAATTTTAACAGGATATGGTGTTTTCACTACAAAAGAATTTACGAAGGGCGATTTTCTTCTGGAATACGTGGGAGAAACAATTCATGAAGAAGAAGCGTTGGAAAGAGAGAAGAATTATGCCAAGCGACAGAAGAATGCAAAATATTCAAGATGCTATACCTTCTTTTATAAACACAATGAAAAGCATTTTTGGTAGGTAGATTGTTAACATGAAATACAATATCAAATGAAACTGAATTTTGTTACTATTATTATGCTTCTTGAAATTTCACTTATCCAAGGGCTGTATTTAAGAGAGTTGTAAATGGAGTGGAGTAAGTAGATTTCTTCTGGATAGATAAATGTTTAAGTTAATCTGACAACAGACATTGTACACAATGGTAATAAGATTGTTTATCAACAAACACAAAAAAGTCAACTGATCATGAAACCATACCATTTGGTGTAAAGAGAATGTAATATACAAGATGTAAAATAAATAGAGGATCTTACAAGAGTGTCATTGTCAATGAAAAAAAACATTATTACTAAATGGTGATAACAAATTATTTTCACATGGTGATGACAGCAAGCATTCCTGTCTTGCAGACATTTCTCAGTTTTAACATGACAATTAATGTCTCCAGTCCTGTTTGCCATTTACTGGTTCTCAAGATATAAGCACAGTTCTTGTTAATATTGCATCTACTATTTCTGACAATGAGATCCAGGTGAGTGACACAGGCCCTCTGGGCCTCTTGTCTAAGGTAATTTGGGTTGGAGTCCTCGAATTGGAAAAGGTTTCCCTGCTTCATTGACTGTGACCTTCAACACAAGTTTTCTTTTGGTACTCTCATACAGTTTTCTCCCACATACACATTGATCATTACTCTAGAGCTGACTTGCATCCATTCAAGATACTTATATTGTTCCAAATAAGTTTGTATCCTGTATCTTGATATTAATTGATAGATGGATTTTGATAATGTATTTTTAACTACATATATAATTACATAAACTTCTTTTATTCTACTACGACTGCTAAACAAGAAAATTTGGATTAATAAAACAAATTGGTACAATGTTCTTACACCACAATTGAATGCTATTTGAAGTTTTTACATTTGTTTACAGCATAGATGCAACCAACACAACAGGAAGGGCTGGCAGTTTGGTGAATGATGGCATATTGATCAAGCACTTCAATTGCAAAATGAAAAAGATAACACTAAATGGAAAAGTGCATTTGGCTTTATTTGCCACAAGACAAATCGACAGTGGGTCTGAATTATTGTATGATTATGGAGAAGATAATTTGTGGTGGAGAAAGGTCAGTGTATGGAACTGTGATTTGTTTTAGGTCACTAATGAGACAAGTCTCAAATGATCATGCATCATCTGTCTGTAAATATTTCACACTTTCAACTTCTTCCCATAAACCCCTGAAGCGGTTTCTAGGAACTTTAGCAGAAGCCTTCCATTATCATTGATGCACTAAAATTCTGAATAATTTTTACATTTTCCCACCCATGACCTCTGAAGGGCATACCAAAAAGGGGTCAGATTAGCCAACATTTCAATAATTTTCTCCTTATGACCACTATTCTTTATAGATGAAAAGGTGATTTTTGTGAATTTCATAACCCCCAGGCTCAATATTTGCCCTTTGGAGGGAGTAAGTTGATATGGGAAAACCGTAATTTTGAGTATATTTTGTTCACTTTCAATAGGAAGTATTTCATACTTTGAAATGTAACCCCGAAGTGATAGTTAATATATCATATAAAGATTTTATAAAGAGTCAACTCCAAAAAGGTTAAATTTGTTTAAATCTCAGCAGTTTTATTAAGATCCAAATTTATTAAGTTACTGTAGAAACATTATAAATATTTTAGTGCATTTTGTTCATTTCAGTTGGAAAATCAAACTGGTTGGAATTATGTTGCAGGAAATTGTTTTAGATAACTTAGAAATGGTTGAGACCTCAAGCCCATTACTACACTTGTTGGGCATAAAGAAACAAATGCAACAATCATACCACCATTTGCCCTGGGGTCCGACCTACACTCTTGGGAGTTCACTTGGAAATGGTTAAGATCCCGATCCTATAACCATACATCTTGTTTATTATAGTGCTGGGCATAAACAGATTAATATTAATGACTGCCCATTAGTCCAACTACCACTGAGGACTTAATCTCTGGACCATACCTAGAGATGATCCCTATTCTATATCCATATTTCGTGATATTAGTACTAGTGGTCATGAAGTGTCCTGCTGTATATCCATGCTACAATGCATGAATTAATCTCCTGTTAGATAGATGAGCAATGCAGGTCCCACATGCCTCTTGTTTACTTTAGTAAATGTGCAATATCCTACTGTTTTGTACAGTTCTCTGCTAGGAATGCCAAAGTGTAACAAGAGATGAATTTAAAGGCATCCAGAGTATATAACACAAAACTTTGGTGAATTATCTTTTTACTCCGCCTTTACTTCTTTTGCCATCAAACGGAAAAAAAATGTGACATTTAGCAGAGCGAATAGAAAGTGCCGTTCTCATTAGTCAAATCTCTGAACTTTTTATCATTTCTAGTGAATGATGTAAGCTTTCATGAAATAGATATCTTGTTAAATTTCAAATGCAAAACAGTAATGAATGTGATTATTGATAACTTATATCATTTCTGACTATATGTGAAAATCTAAATGCTCTGTATATAAAGTGAATACAGATGAGTGAGGGGGGCATTATATGATTAACATTTCTTGTTTATTTTTTTCAGTCATGTGAGCAGAACAATGAAAATTTGGAGACATTAGGTGAGGGATTTAGCACAGAATAACTCAGCAATGATGTCTTTCCCCTTTTTATTAGGTCACCTGAGAGAAAGTCTCATGTGACCTATTCTAATCGCAATATTAGGCATGTATTGGGGTGAAAGGCTAGCAAGATTGTAAAAATGAATTACCTTGACCTTCATTCAAGGTACCAAGGATCAAATATGCTAAAAATTTTAAGCATCATCTTCTTGCTAAGCAATAGGCCTAGAGCCCAGAGACCTGATACTGGGCCTATAGCATGCTGGGTGAAAAGCTATCAAGTTTGTTCAAAGGAACTACTTTGACCTTCTTTCAAGGTCACAAGTTTCAAATATGCTTAATTCTTTTAAACAACATTTTCTCACTAAGCTCAAGAGGCCCAGAGGCCTGATATTTAGTCTATATCAGACTGGGGTGAAGAGCTATCAAGATTGTTCAAATGAATGATCATGACCGTCATTCAAGGTTACATGAATTAAACTTGCTCAAATGCACATCTTCAAACTGAGTCAGAGGTCCAAGGACCTGATATTAGGCCTTTAGCATGCTGAGATGGACAAAATTATCTGCGAATTCAAGGTCACATTTACCAAATCTGCCAAAAGATATCAAAACTCAGGTGACTGTTAAGGCCCATTTGCCTCTTGTTTGTAACATTTTTACATGAATCATTTGTAATTAACCTTTTTTATGCTTGCTGTAGTTTACATCTGCAAATTTTAGGTATTACTTCATAATCTCCTAGCTTACTTTGCAGGTGACACATCCACTTTGTAGAATTCTTGTTATCAACTGGGAAACACGTTTGGGGGGATATTAAATCGGGCACCGTTCGTCGGTCCATGCGTCCAGTTGAACGTTTTTCTGGGCTATAAGTACAAAACCGTTCAGTTCAAAAGTTCAAAACTTTCTGTATCTATTAGGTCAGTTACCTAGATGTCCCTTTTACTATTGATGACATTTCATTTTTGGTATTTTTACTGTTACCATTGAAACATAATAAAAAAAGTACAAAAGTGTCTGGGCGGAGCGCGGGGATATTGATTTAAACAGCGATGCATTTATATTACAGACATTACTTTAAGTTTACTCAATTTCATTTGAAGCTAAAATTAGTATTGAAGTATGGAAACTTAACTGTGACAGACAATGTATGAATGTGCGCAAACCAGATTATCAGAAAAGTAAAAAAAAACTTCTGACATTGAGATGAATGTATTGTTACCAGTTTGAGAATTTGTTAAAGATCATCTTTGTATAAATTAGGGCCTTGTAGTGCTTAAACATCCTGTGTTTGCTTTCCAGGTTCTGATGCGCAAGGCAAGACTGAGGGTAATGACAAAATGCCATCTGGTGATGATTCGGATGTATCAGAAGTGTTGGTTGATATGGAAACAGAACATGGAAATGACAGTGATGGTAATTATGTTGTTAACAATTTTGTAGATTCAAGCAGTGTCCTATAAATTACATGTAATAGAATATTTTATATTTATTAAAAGAGTACTATTACCATGATGTGGAAATTGACTTGGTGTATGCTAATACAGAAGGATTTCTAAGAAAATTAAATCCTGTACCTTGTGATGTTTCATTATTTCTCTATCATTCATAAGAAGGAGACAGCAAAATGTTTTCTGTTGGTTGTAGAGTTTAAATGTTTATAGTCCACTAAGATCAATATTGTGTTCTCTAGGAAAATGTGTTTGAAGATAACTCAAATGGGAAAACTCCGAAGATTTCAATTCTCAAGTACAATTATGATATTTATGCATTGATTTCCAGTTGGCAAAAGATCACCTGATGTAGATGTCCCTGCAGATACCAGTGATGAAGTCAAAGGTATTAATGAAATTAACTGTATAAATGTATCATTCTCACAACTCACCCTTTTTGTAAAAATTGTTGCTAGTCAAGAACTACTGAACAGATATTGATAAAACTTTAAATTCTTTGTGGGTAAGAAAGATCCAATTTTGTACATTAATGTCTAATTTCCTGGGGCAGGGAGGCAGGAACAAATAGTCTAAATCAAGGGTGGGGGAATGAAAGGCTATTGCTGTCAAGATAAATGTATTTCAACCAATTTGCCAAGATGATATGACGCATCTTTGTGTAAATCCGGAAATCAAGTTCTGTATAAAAAGTGGACCTTGTAGTGCTTTAACATCTCGTTTTTGCTTTGCAGGTTCTGATGTACAAGGCAAGACTGAGGGTAATGACAAAATGCCATCTGGTGATGATTCGGATGTATCAGAAGTGTTGGTTGATATGGAAACAGAACATGGAAATGACAGTGATGGTAATTATGTTGTTAACAAATTTGTAGATTCAAGCAGTGTCGTATAAATTATATGTAATAGAATATTTTATATTTATTAAAAGAGTACTATTACCATGATGTGGAAATTGACTTGGTGTATGCTAATACAGAAGGATTTCTAAGAAAATTAAATCCTGTACCTTGTGATGTTTCATTATTTCTCTATCATTCATAAGAAGGAGACAGCAAAACGTTTTCTGTTGGTTGTAGAGTTTAAATGTTTATAGTCCACTAAGATCAATATTGTGTTCTCTAGGAAAATGTGTTTGAAGATAACTCAAATGGGAAAACTCCGAAGATTTCAATTCTCAAGTACAATTATGATATTTATGCATTGATTTCCAGTTGGCAAAAGATCACCTGATGTAGATGTCCCTGCAGATACCAGTGATGAAGTCAAAGGTATTAATGAAATTAACTGTATAAATGTATCATTCTCACAACTCACCCTTTTTGTAAAAATTGTTGCTAGTCAAGAACTACTGAACAGATATTGATAAAACTTTAAATTCTTTGTGGGTAAGAAAGATCCAATTTTGTACATTAATGTCTAATTTCCTGGGGCAGGGAGACAGGAACAAATATTCTAAATCAAGGGTGGGGGAATGAAAGGCTATTGCTGTCAAGATAAATGTATTGAATTACTTCTATTTTACGCATTTCTTTACCCATAATAAAGCATTTATCTTAGTTTAATAAAGTTAGATTGGCAGAAGACATGACCATGGCTAGGTAATATAGATATAAGCATTGAGCTGTCGTGTGTCTGCATTTATGACTGGCATAATTACCATGCCATAATATGACAGTTTATTACTTAAATATGATTACCAGGTTATTGCAACTAATGAACATTTATTTAGCTTAAAATATTCTATTTCAAGGTGAAATAGTTACCAATATGTATATGAAGAAAATGTTTCCATTTCAATAATAGTTTCAACAAATATGTACTAAAAGGGAAACCATGCTGATTTCAGTTAGCCTGCTTCCAGTTCATAGTGATGAAGAGGATGAGTATTTGGATGAGTATTTGGATGATACGGATCAAGATCTTGATTATAATCCAGAAAACTCTGATGAATCTGGTAAAGTTATGAAGATGTAACATTGATGTACATATCAGCAAATAGATCAAGTTAACATTCTGTTTTATTGTACATTGCTATTCTAATTTAATGAAGATAAATACATGTCAGTTTCAATTAAGTGTGTGTAACACACTTTAAATGGCCATTGATATTCCATTAGCCATGCCTGCTATCTATTTTGATTCTATATAGGCAGTAAGTGTTCACCTGGAATGATTTAACACAAATTTTTGCCTGTCCTGTATAAACTTTTTTCAGTTAGAACAGGGAATGCAATTTTTAGATTGGATGTAAACCCATGATGACCTCCATCATAGAATTTCTCTCTTCACCAGTGAGATGATTAAGTAAAGGTTATGAGGAGACTCCCTGTAAAATATTAGAATTTCTCTCTTCAATGAGATGATTAAGTAAAGGTTATGGGGAGACTCCCCATAAAATATTAGAATTTTTCTCTTCATCAGTGAGATGATTCATGAAATGTTATGAGGAGACACCCTGTAAAATATTAGAATTTCTCTCTTCATCAGTGAGAGGATTCATGAAAGGTTATGTGGAGATTCCCTGTAAAATATTAGAATTTCTCTCTTCATCAGTGAGACGTGATTCGCTAAAAGTTGTGAAAAGACTCAAAAAAAAAAGGGAGGTGGATGGGAGTTAAGATACTTGCTGATTTTGGTGAAAAGAATTTTATAAGTTTTGTCTAATATGAAGATATCAATGATAAGTTCTGTGTTTCTGATTTGACAAAATGACTGTCATATGGAAACTTCTGATTGGTCATAATTTATGTCCAGTCCATTATTGCTGAAAATTGGTATAACATAAGTTCTGTATGACACAACTCACATATCTAATGGTCCCCATTACAATTACAAGTCGATAGTAAATGTGTTAATAGCATCAAAAGTTTTGTTTTCCCAGATTCTGATTGTGATGTGCAAGGCAAAACTGAAGGTACTGAAAAAATGCTATCTGGTGATGATTCGGATGTATCAGAAGTGTTGGTTGATATGGAAACAGAACATGGAAATGACAGTGATGGTAATTATGTTGTTAACCATTATCTAAAATTTGTAGATTCAAGCAGTGTCCTATAAATTACACGTAATAGAATTTTTTATATTTATTCAAAGAGTACTATTACCATGATGTGGAAATTGACTTGGTGTATGCTAATACAGAAGGATTTCTAAGAAAATTAAATCCTGTACCTTGTGATGTTTCATTATTTCTCTATCATTCATAAGAAGGAGACAGCAAAAAGTTTTCTGTTGGTTGTAGAGTTTAAATGTTTATAGCCCACTAAGATCAATATTGTGTTCTCTAGGAAAATGTGTTTGAAGATAACTCAAATGGGAAAACTCCGAAGATTTCAATTCTCAAGTACAATTATGATATTTATGCATTGATTTCCAGTTGGCAAAAGATCACCTGATGTAGATGTCCCTGCAGATACCAGTGATGAAGTCAAAGGTATTAATGAAATTAACTGTATAAATGTATCATTCTCACAACTCACCCTTTTTGTAAAAATTGTTGCTAGTCAAGAACTACTGAACAGATATTGATAAAACTTTAAATTCTTTGTGGGTAAGAAAGATCCAATTTTGTACATTAATGTCTAATTTCCAGGGGCAGGGAGACAGGAACAAATATTCTAAATCAAGGGTGGGGGAATGAAAGGCTATTGCTGTCAAGATAAATGTATTTCAACCAATTTGCCAAGATGATATGACGCATCTTTGTGTAAATCCGGCAATCAAGTTCTGTATAAAAAGTGAGCCTTGTAGTGCTTTAACATCTCGTTTTTGCTTTGCAGGTTCTGATGTACAAGGCAAGACTGAGGGTAATGACAAAATGCCATCTGGTGATGATTCGGATGTATCAGAAGTGTTGGTTGATATGGAAACAGAACATGGAAATGACAGTGATGGTAATTATGTTGTTAACAAATTTGTAGATTCAAGCAGTGTCCTATAAATTACATGTAATAGAATATTTTATATTTATTAAAAGAGTACTATTACCATGATGTGGAAATTGACTTGGTGTATGCTAATACAGAAGGATTTCTAAGAAAATTAAATCCTGTACCTTGTGATGTTTCATTATTTCTCTATCATTCATAAGAAGGAGACAGCAAAAAGTTTTCTGTTGGTTGTAGAGTTTAAATGTTTATAGTCCACTAAGATCAATATTGTGTTCTCTAGGAAAATGTGTTGGAAGATAACTCAAATGGGAAAACTCCGAAGATTTCAATTCTCAAGTACAATTATGATATTTATGCATTGATTTCCAGTTGGCAAAAGATCACCTGATGTAGATGTCCCTGCAGATACCAGTGATGAAGTCAAAGGTATTAATGAAATTAACTGTATAAATGTATCATTCTCACAACTCACCCTTTTTGTAAAAATTGTTGCTAGTCAAGAACTACTGAACAGATATTGATAAAACTTTAAATTCTTTGTGGGTAAGAAAGATCCAATTTTGTACATTAATGTCTAATTTCCTGGGGCAGGGAGACAGGAACAAATATTCTAAATCAAGGGTGGGGGAATGAAAGGCTATTGCTGTCAAGATAAATGTATTTCAACCAATTTGCCAAGATGATATGACGCATCTTTGTGTAAATCCGGCAATCAAGTTCTGTATAAAAAGTGAGCCTTGTAGTGCTTTAACATCTCGTTTTTGCTTTGCAGGTTCTGATGTACAAGGCAAGACTGAGGGTAATGACAAAATGCCATCTGGTGATGATTCGGATGTATCAGAAGTGTTGGTTGATATGGAAACAGAACATGGAAATGACAGTGATGGTAATTATGTTGTTAACAAATTTGTAGATTCAAGCAGTGTCGTATAAATTATATGTAATAGAATATTTTATATTTATTAAAAGAGTACTATTACCATGATGTGGAAATTGACTTGGTGTATGCTAATACAGAAGGATTTCTAAGAAAATTAAATCCTGTACCTTGTGATGTTTCATTATTTCTCTATCATTCATAAGAAGGAGACAGCAAAACGTTTTCTGTTGGTTGTAGAGTTTAAATGTTTATAGTCCACTAAGATCAATATTGTGTTCTCTAGGAAAATGTGTTTGAAGATAACTCAAATGGGAAAACTCCGAAGATTTCAATTCTCAAGTACAATTATGATATTTATGCATTGATTTCCAGTTGGCAAAAGATCACCTGATGTAGATGTCCCTGCAGATACCAGTGATGAAGTCAAAGGTATTAATGAAATTAACTGTATAAATGTATCATTCTCACAACTCACCCTTTTTGTAAAAATTGTTGCTAGTCAAGAACTACTGAACAGATATTGATAAAACTTTAAATTCTTTGTGGGTAAGAAAGATCCAATTTTGTACATTAATGTCTAATTTCCTGGGGCAGGGAGACAGGAACAAATATTCTAAATCAAGGGTGGGGGAATGAAAGGCTATTGCTGTCAAGATAAATGTATTGAATTACTTCTATTTTACGCATTTCTTTACCCATAATAAAGCATTTATCTTAGTTTAATAAAGTTAGATTGGCAGAAGACATGACCATGGCTAGGTAATATAGATATAAGCATTGAGCTGTCGTGTGTCTGCATTTATGACTGGCATAATTACCATGCCATAATATGACAGTTTATTACTTAAATATGATTACCAGGTTATTGCAACTAATGAACATTTATTTAGCTTAAAATATTCTATTTCAAGGTGAAATAGTTACCAATATGTATATGAAGAAAATGTTTCCATTTCAATAATAGTTTCAACAAATATGTACTAAAAGGGAAACCATGCTGATTTCAGTTAGCCTGCTTCCAGTTCATAGTGATGAAGAGGATGAGTATTTGGATGAGTATTTGGATGATACGGATCAAGATCTTGATTATAATCCAGAAAACTCTGATGAATCTGGTAAAGTTATGAAGATGTAACATTGATGTACATATCAGCAAATAGATCAAGTTAACATTCTGTTTTATTGTACATTGCTATTCTAATTTAATGAAGATAAATACATGTCAGTTTCAATTAAGTGTGTGTAACACACTTTAAATGGCCATTGATATTCCATTAGCCATGCCTGCTATCTATTTTGATTCTATATAGGCAGTAAGTGTTCACCTGGAATGATTTAACACAAATTTTTGCCTGTCCTGTATAAACTTTTTTCAGTTAGAACAGGGAATGCAATTTTTAGGTTGGATGTAAACCCATGATGACCTCCATCATAGAATTTCTCTCTTCACCAGTGAGATGATTAAGTAAAGGTTATGAGGAGACTCCCTGTAAAATATTAGAATTTCTCTCTTCAATGAGATGATTAAGTAAAGGTTATGGGGAGACTCCCCATAAAATATTAGAATTTTTCTCTTCATCAGTGAGATGATTCATGAAAGGTTATGAGGAGACACCCTGTAAAATATTAGAATTTCTCTCTTCATCAGTGAGAGGATTCATGAAAGGTTATGTGGAGATTCCCTGTAAAATATTAGAATTTCTCTCTTCATCAGTGAGACGTGATTCGCTAAAAGTTGTGAAAAGACTCAAAAAAAAAAGGGAGGTGGATGGGAGTTAAGATACTTGCTGATTTTGGTGAAAAGAATTTTATAAGTTTTGTCTAATATGAAGATATCAATGATAAGTTCTGTGTTTCTGATTTGACAAAATGACTGTCATATGGAAACTTCTGATTGGTCATAATTTATGTCCAGTCCATTATTGCTGAAAATTGGTATAACATAAGTTCTGTATGACACAACTCACATATCTAATGGTCCCCATTACAATTACAAGTCGATAGTAAATGTGTTAATAGCATCAAAAGTTTTGTTTTCCCAGATTCTGATTGTGATGTGCAAGGCAAAACTGAAGGTACTGAAAAAATGCTATCTGGTGATGATTCGGATGTATCAGAAGTGTTGGTTGATATGGAAACAGAACATGGAAATGACAGTGATGGTAATTATGTTGTTAACCATTATCTAAAATTTGTAGATTCAAGCAGTGTCCTATAAATTACACGTAATAGAATTTTTTATATTTATTCAAAGAGTACTATTACCATGATGTGGAAATTGACTTGGTGTATGCTAATACAGAAGGATTTCTAAGAAAATTAAATCCTGTACCTTGTGATGTTTCATTATTTCTCTATCATTCATAAGAAGGAGACAGCAAAAAGTTTTCTGTTGGTTGTAGAGTTTAAATGTTTATAGCCCACTAAGATCAATATTGTGTTCTCTAGGAAAATGTGTTTGAAGATAACTCAAATGGGAAAACTCCGAAGATTTCAATTCTCAAGTACAATTATGATATTTATGCATTGATTTCCAGTTGGCAAAAGATCACCTGATGTAGATGTCCCTGCAGATACCAGTGATGAAGTCAAAGGTATTAATGAAATTAACTGTATAAATGTATCATTCTCACAACTCACCCTTTTTGTAAAAATTGTTGCTAGTCAAGAACTACTGAACAGATATTGATAAAACTTTAAATTCTTTGTGGGTAAGAAAGATCCAATTTTGTACATTAATGTCTAATTTCCAGGGGCAGGGAGACAGGAACAAATATTCTAAATCAAGGGTGGGGGAATGAAAGGCTATTGCTGTCAAGATAAATGTATTTCAACCAATTTGCCAAGATGATATGACGCATCTTTGTGTAAATCCGGCAATCAAGTTCTGTATAAAAAGTGAGCCTTGTAGTGCTTTAACATCTCGTTTTTGCTTTGCAGGTTCTGATGTACAAGGCAAGACTGAGGGTAATGACAAAATGCCATCTGGTGATGATTCGGATGTATCAGAAGTGTTGGTTGATATGGAAACAGAACATGGAAATGACAGTGATGGTAATTATGTTGTTAACAAATTTGTAGATTCAAGCAGTGTCCTATAAATTACATGTAATAGAATATTTTATATTTATTAAAAGAGTACTATTACCATGATGTGGAAATTGACTTGGTGTATGCTAATACAGAAGGATTTCTAAGAAAATTAAATCCTGTACCTTGTGATGTTTCATTATTTCTCTATCATTCATAAGAAGGAGACAGCAAAAAGTTTTCTGTTGGTTGTAGAGTTTAAATGTTTATAGTCCACTAAGATCAATATTGTGTTCTCTAGGAAAATGTGTTGGAAGATAACTCAAATGGGAAAACTCCGAAGATTTCAATTCTCAAGTACAATTATGATATTTATGCATTGATTTCCAGTTGGCAAAAGATCACCTGATGTAGATGTCCCTGCAGATACCAGTGATGAAGTCAAAGGTATTAATGAAATTAACTGTATAAATGTATCATTCTCACAACTCACCCTTTTTGTAAAAATTGTTGCTAGTCAAGAACTACTGAACAGATATTGATAAAACTTTAAATTCTTTGTGGGTAAGAAAGATCCAATTTTGTACATTAATGTCTAATTTCCTGGGGCAGGGAGACAGGAACAAATATTCTAAATCAAGGGTGGGGGAATGAAAGGCTATTGCTGTCAAGATAAATGTATTTCAACCAATTTGCCAAGATGATATGACGCATCTTTGTGTAAATCCGGCAATCAAGTTCTGTATAAAAAGTGAGCCTTGTAGTGCTTTAACATCTCGTTTTTGCTTTGCAGGTTCTGATGTACAAGGCAAGACTGAGGGTAATGACAAAATGCCATCTGGTGATGATTCGGATGTATCAGAAGTGTTGGTTGATATGGAAACAGAACATGGAAATGACAGTGATGGTAATTATGTTGTTAACAAATTTGTAGATTCAAGCAGTGTCGTATAAATTATATGTAATAGAATATTTTATATTTATTAAAAGAGTACTATTACCATGATGTGGAAATTGACTTGGTGTATGCTAATACAGAAGGATTTCTAAGAAAATTAAATCCTGTACCTTGTGATGTTTCATTATTTCTCTATCATTCATAAGAAGGAGACAGCAAAACGTTTTCTGTTGGTTGTAGAGTTTAAATGTTTATAGTCCACTAAGATCAATATTGTGTTCTCTAGGAAAATGTGTTTGAAGATAACTCAAATGGGAAAACTCCGAAGATTTCAATTCTCAAGTACAATTATGATATTTATGCATTGATTTCCAGTTGGCAAAAGATCACCTGATGTAGATGTCCCTGCAGATACCAGTGATGAAGTCAAAGGTATTAATGAAATTAACTGTATAAATGTATCATTCTCACAACTCACCCTTTTTGTAAAAATTGTTGCTAGTCAAGAACTACTGAACAGATATTGATAAAACTTTAAATTCTTTGTGGGTAAGAAAGATCCAATTTTGTACATTAATGTCTAATTTCCTGGGGCAGGGAGACAGGAACAAATATTCTAAATCAAGGGTGGGGGAATGAAAGGCTATTGCTGTCAAGATAAATGTATTGAATTACTTCTATTTTACGCATTTCTTTACCCATAATAAAGCATTTATCTTAGTTTAATAAAGTTAGATTGGCAGAAGACATGACCATGGCTAGGTAATATAGATATAAGCATTGAGCTGTCGTGTGTCTGCATTTATGACTGGCATAATTACCATGCCATAATATGACAGTTTATTACTTAAATATGATTACCAGGTTATTGCAACTAATGAACATTTATTTAGCTTAAAATATTCTATTTCAAGGTGAAATAGTTACCAATATGTATATGAAGAAAATGTTTCCATTTCAATAATAGTTTCAACAAATATGTACTAAAAGGGAAACCATGCTGATTTCAGTTAGCCTGCTTCCAGTTCATAGTGATGAAGAGGATGAGTATTTGGATGAGTATTTGGATGATACGGATCAAGATCTTGATTATAATCCAGAAAACTCTGATGAATCTGGTAAAGTTATGAAGATGTAACATTGATGTACATATCAGCAAATAGATCAAGTTAACATTCTGTTTTATTGTACATTGCTATTCTAATTTAATGAAGATAAATACATGTCAGTTTCAATTAAGTGTGTGTAACACACTTTAAATGGCCATTGATATTCCATTAGCCATGCCTGCTATCTATTTTGATTCTATATAGGCAGTAAGTGTTCACCTGGAATGATTTAACACAAATTTTTGCCTGTCCTGTATAAACTTTTTTCAGTTAGAACAGGGAATGCAATTTTTAGGTTGGATGTAAACCCATGATGACCTCCATCATAGAATTTCTCTCTTCACCAGTGAGATGATTAAGTAAAGGTTATGAGGAGACTCCCTGTAAAATATTAGAATTTCTCTCTTCAATGAGATGATTAAGTAAAGGTTATGGGGAGACTCCCCATAAAATATTAGAATTTTTCTCTTCATCAGTGAGATGATTCATGAAAGGTTATGAGGAGACACCCTGTAAAATATTAGAATTTCTCTCTTCATCAGTGAGAGGATTCATGAAAGGTTATGTGGAGATTCCCTGTAAAATATTAGAATTTCTCTCTTCATCAGTGAGACGTGATTCGCTAAAAGTTGTGAAAAGACTCAAAAAAAAAAGGGAGGTGGATGGGAGTTAAGATACTTGCTGATTTTGGTGAAAAGAATTTTATAAGTTTTGTCTAATATGAAGATATCAATGATAAGTTCTGTGTTTCTGATTTGACAAAATGACTGTCATATGGAAACTTCTGATTGGTCATAATTTATGTCCAGTCCATTATTGCTGAAAATTGGTATAACATAAGTTCTGTATGACACAACTCACATATCTAATGGTCCCCATTACAATTACAAGTCGATAGTAAATGTGTTAATAGCATCAAAAGTTTTGTTTTCCCAGATTCTGATTGTGATGTGCAAGGCAAAACTGAAGGTACTGAAAAAATGCTATCTGGTGATGATTCGGATGTATCAGAAGTGTTGGTTGATATGGAAACAGAACATGGAAATGACAGTGATGGTAATTATGTTGTTAACCATTATCTAAAATTTGTAGATTCAAGCAGTGTCCTATAAATTACACGTAATAGAATTTTTTATATTTATTCAAAGAGTACTATTACCATGATGTGGAAATTGACTTGGTGTATGCTAATACAGAAGGATTTCTAAGAAAATTAAGTCCTGTACCTTGTGATGTTTCATTATTTCTCTATCATTCATCAAAGAAGGAGACAGCAAAACGTTTTCTGTTGGTTGTAGAGTTTAAATGTTTATAGTCCACTAAGATCAATATTGTGTTCTCTAGGAAAATGTGTTTGAAGATAACTCAAATGGGAAAACTCCGAAGATTTCAATTCTCAAGTACAATTATGATATTTATGCATTGATTTCCAGTTGGCAAAAGATCACCTGATGTAGATGTTCTTGCAGATACCAGTGATGAAGTCAAAGGTATTATATTATCATCAGTTAGGTTATTAGCTCATCTGATCCAAAGGGTCAAGTGAGCGTATGTGATACCGCAGCATCCACCGTCAGTCTGTTAGTCGTCCATCAGCGTTTCATTTAATTGACTTCATCTGAAATACCAAAAGGCCTAGAAGAATGATATTTAAGTGGTAAGACACATGGAAGCAGTCCATCAAAGTTTATGAAAAGAAATGATCTTGAACTATATTCAAGGTCACAGGGGTCAAACATATGAAAATTTTTAAAGGACTTCTCTTGATAAACTGAAAGGCCTAGAAGCATGATATTTGGCTGGTAGGTACCACCAGTGAAGCACAACAATGTTTTTGAAAAGAAATGACTGTGACCTATATCCAAACTCACAGAGGTCAAATACGTCAAAACCTTTCAACGACTTCTTGTGATAAACTAAAAGGCCTAGAACTGTGATAATTGGTTGTCCCTTGGATGAAGCACAAGGAAGTTTACAAAAAAGAAGTGACCTTGACCCATATTCAAGGTCACAGGAGTATGCGAAAACATTTAAACGACTTCTTGTTATGAATCAAGAGGCCTTGAAGCATATTTGGCTGGTAGGTCCCTTGGATATAGACCCCCCCCCCCCCGACAAAGTTGCTTAAAGAAATAACCTTGACCCATATTCAAGATCACGGGGGTCAAATATGCAATAACTTTTAAAAAACTTCTTGTGATTAATTAAAAGCCTTGAAGCATGATATTTGGTTGGTAGGTCCCTTGAATATCTACCCCCCCCCCCCCCCCCGACAAAGTTGCTTAAAGAAATAACCTTGACCCATATTCAAGATCACGGGGGTCAAATATGCAATAACTTTTAAAAAACTTCTTGTGATTAATTAAAAGCCTTGAAGCATGATATTTGGTTGGTAGGTCCCTTGAATATAGACCCCCCCCCCCCGACAAAGTTGCTTAAAGAAATAACCTTGACCCATATTCAAGATCACGGGGGTCAAATATGCAATAACTTTTAAACAACTTCTTGTGATTAATTAAAAGCCTAGGAGCATGATATTTGGCTGGTAGATCCCTTGGATGGACCCCAACAAAGTTGCAAAAAGAAACGACTTTGACATATATTCAAGGTAACAGGGGTCAAATATATGAAAGTCTTTAAATGACTTCTAGTGATGAACTGAAAGGCCTAGGTCCCATAGATTGCCGCCATCTTGAAAAAAACACATTTCAAACTTCAACTTTAAAGTTCAACCAAAGGGATTGAGCTGAAACTTGTTTGATATGATCCTTAAATGGTCCCAAGCAAGTGTTGGTTTTTTTTTCCGGGTCTTTCTAAAATCCAATATTGCTGCCATGGCCACCATCTGGAGAAACAGATTGTAAACTTCTTCTCAAGTTCCACCAGTGGGATTGACCTGAAACTTGCCTGAAATGATCCTAAGATGGTCCTGACAAAGTATTGTTACATTTTGAGTTGATCTGGAATCTAAGATTGCAGCCATGGCAGCCATCTTGAAAATCTAGCCCTTAGCAAAATCAATAAACTTTGAATTGTAGGATACAAACCATTCCCAGTATCATAGTCAGATGACTGTTAAGGCCCATAGGTCTCTTGTTCATTATACCACAGCTACGTTTAGGGGCAGGAAAGGAGTATAGTAATCACTTATTGAATGCAGAGCTGTTTTTCAAGATTTTTCACAACCACAATACTATATTTGTTATGAAAATTAAAAATGGTGTAGATGTATCTATGTAAGTATATATTCACATTGATTTCTATTCTTTTCAGACTTGCATACTACACCTGTTTCTGAGAAAGATTCTCCAACGAACAAAATCAAAGGTATGAACCATATGTCTATAGACCTACACAGATGATGACAGTTATCACTTTATGACTACAATTCAGCTGAAATGAGACTCCTAAATTGTAATTATTACAACTTCGAAATTACGGCCCATTTGTTTTGTAAGTAATATCATGTATGAATGAATTTTCTTTATACAGATGTTGCCTATATTGAATGACGATAGGTTATATTTTCTAAATTAGATAAATGTTCACACTCAAAGTGTTTCCAGTAATGCTAAGTAAGTGATTAAAATAAATACTGCCAACTTCCATTCTTCATTTTTAGTTGCACAAGTTTCCCATGGGAAGAAAGGAGAACGAGTTTATGACAAAAGACAAGCTTGTTATTATTGTGGGCAGCTGTTTGCTAAAATTTCTGAACATTTGGAAAATAAGCACAAAGATCAGATGGAGGTGGCCAATGTTTTAGCCTTGAAGAAAGGAAGCCAAAGTAGGGCATTGGCATGGAAAAAGCTAAGGAACATGGGGAATTTTCAGCATAATGTCTTGATCCTGTCAACACCAACACATGATCAGGCTGATGATGATTTACAGCTAATAGTGGATCGTCGTCCTAAGAATGCCATAAATATGGATGAGTTCTTGCCATGCAGTTTTTGCCTTGCATTTTTTCGGAAAAGAGATCTCTGGCGTCATGCAAAGAAATGTCCTTTAAATATTGCAGGCTCGTCGGAGGAGGAGACTCGTGTACAGTTATCATCAAAATTACTATTAGAATCATCAATGGCAAGGAACAACAGTAAGGTAGATCAAAATTTTTTGACAGTTGTAGCTGGTATGAAGAATGATGAGGTGCTAGATTGCATCAAATCTGACAATGGACTGAGACTTCTAGGGGGAAGTATGATCCAAAAGGTGGGGAAGTCCAGGTTAGCAAATGTTAGGCAAAAGCTTAGGGAACTTGGGCGTTTATTAATCGAATTGAGGAAAACAACTCCTGTGAACGGGACATCATTACAGAACTTTGATGACGTACTCAAACCACAAAACTTTGATCGTGTTACTGAGGTTGTTTGGAATATTGCTGGAACAACTCCGTCAGGCGAGGAAGCTTTTACACAAAGAGGACTCCCAAAGTATGAGAAACCGTCTTTGGCACTAAAGCTTGGGCATTCTTTGAAAAGAATGGCGGAAATGAAGCGAGGATGTGCAATTCGCTGTGGAGATGAAGTTGCTAGAAAAGAAGCTGAGAACTACATTACATTGCATACAACAGAGTGGAATGGCAAAATTAGTAGCCATGCTTCTCAAACTCTGTCAGAACGCCGGCATAATGACCCAAACCTCCTTCCACTAACAGAAGATGTGATAAAGCTAAGGCGCTATCTTCTTGATGAACAACAACGCCTTATTCCACAACTGAGAAGTGCTCCATCAGTGAGCGTTTGGAGAACCTTGGCTCAGGTTGCACTTACTCGTGTGACAGTTTTTAATAAAAGGAGGGGTGGGGAGACTGGACAAATACTTCTGGAAACATATCAGAACAGAATCAACTGGAATGAAGCTGGTAATGCTGAAGTACTTGGTACCCTTCAACCACTTGAGAAGAAACTCTTGGAACGGTATGTGGTTCTAACCTTCTCTTGTTGTGTCTGTGTAAATGAGGTGAGAAACTAGAGGTAAAAGGTGATCCTCAAGTCCCAAAGTCATCAAATTTTACACAATACTACCATATCTGCTAAAATGATCAGTGATGTGTCCATGTTAAGGGACATTGTATAGGATTGCAAGGTTGTGTAGGCATTTTGCAGGCTCCAAATGTCATTGTGACATTGAGGTTAAGGTCAAAGGATGAGGATAAGTCAATAAAGTTTTGTAGATCTCTACAAACTGAAATGAATGTAGGAATACTTTGGTATGTCAGTGGTTGCTGTAATTTCCCCAGTAAGTAATTTTTTGAGCACTTTGTATATTCCAGATAATCTGTACCTACAGATAGTCCATGGGAAATAGATTGATTCTACTTATTTACACGTGTGCAAAGGGAGTACATTATGTACATGTACCTAAACAATTTGACGTATTTTCTGTCTAAATTTCTACAACTCTGAGCAGTAAACATACTTAGGCATACTTTGCTGTGATGAATAAAACATAGCATGTAAAATCATTGGATATTTGTCATTGCTAATGAAAATAATTCTGTTTCACAACTGAGAGATGCCCAATTAAACTGCAGCATAGAAAGTGCAAGTTGTGAATATCCTTCAAAAGGAAAACAGTAATGTTGTACTGACAAATTCAAAGTGAAATTTTAATTCTATGCCCGTCGAACTTCGACGGATGAATTATGGAATACAGTGGGCTGTCGGGTTTCTAGATTTAGTTCTGGTGCACATTTCTTCATTGTTATTCATTTCAGTTTATTTTCTCAATTTGTGAATGTTTTGGACTGAACTTTTTTTTTTCAATTTTTTGGTGCACATTTCTTCAGTGGTTTACAGTTAAGTCAGATAATGTGTAATGACCTTAATTTTTTTCAATGGGTGTTCCTACAGGGTCTTATGATGATGAGATTGATTCAATTTGTGGAAGTTCATCTAATTTAGATTTTTATCAGTTTTTAACCCATTTTGGAATTTTTTTCAATCTAAAGTTTGGGTGTAGATTTCTCTAGTACTTTGTTGTCAAACAACCACATGGGGCACACTTTTCTTAACTGGTCATTTAATTTCTAACTCATGGTCCTGTATTGTTGGTATGTATCAAGTTATCTTTAACAGTTCATATGTTTTACTTGTGTTATTTTGGACAAATCTTTACTTTGTATGTTATGTGGTAAATTACTTCAGATGTTTCCCTGTTAACCACAGGTCAAAACTCATTATTCACTATCAATGCTCTGATTACATTCTTTAGGCAGTGCATCAGTAACAAAAAAGCCTGTTATTTTCACTAAATGGGAACATCTGCATACTGTGGACAATCACTTTTCATAACAAAAGCATCAATGTAAGCTTTTTTTATCACATGCCAAATGGGCATAATTCATTTTTGGTGCTATTTTTTCCAATGAAATGCATAGTCAAGTGTAGGAAGGCAAAGTTTATATTTGATAAAATATATTGAATTGAATCTCGGACAAAATGTTTACCCAGTACCACATTGTGTGTGGTTTATCTCATGAGTACTAGTATTACAAGTATACATACTGTATGTACAGTAAAACACAGGCAAGTCAAAGTCATTGGGACCAAGTAATATATGATATTACATATATACCAGCTATAACCCACTGTTATATTTTTCCTAGAAGTCAGAAGGTCATAATAAGCAGAATCTGCTGTACATGTACTTTCAGTTAGTGTATATTCTTTTAATACTGATTTTGTGAAACTTGTTAGACTGCAACTTGTGGAGATTGTGGGCAAAAGAGACAGAAAGGTTCCTGTTATACTAACTGAAGACATGGTCAGCACCATAGATGCATTGAATGAGGTCAGAAAGGACATTTTGTTGCATGCGGAAAACAAGTACCTCTTTGCGGCCCCAACAACAAAAGATGGTTTCTTGAAGGGATGGGATGCACTACACTTCACAACGCAAAATGCTGGTCTTGCCAAACCCCAACTAATTACATCAACCAATATGAGGAAATATGTAGCTACAGTTTCCCAGGTAAGATTTTTCAATGTTTTTTGCCTGATAATCAGTAAAACTAGTTTTTAGTTCACTTGCCTTGGTGTGGTCTTGACCTACTTTCAAGATAACAAGTTTCAGTCATATTAAAGTCAATATACAAATTCTTCTCTTAAGAACCCAATGTATCACGGTGCTGATATACGCCCTGTATTATGTTAGCATTGCAAGGGTTAAGAAGTTTGTCAAAATAAATGACCTTGACCTACTTTCAAGGTAACAGGGGTCAAATACCTTAAAGATTTCATATTCCTTTTCTAGATAACCAAAATGTGTTCAGAGTATTGCTATTGGTTCTATAGCATGCCTTGATGTTGAACTCTGAAATTTGTTCAAGTGAAAAGAATAAACACATCACTGTAAAAAGTACCTATTCTTATTCATGTAGATATTAGATCACAGTTATGCATTTGATATCTCTCAAAGACCATACAATAAAATCTCCCTTTTAGTAACAGTAAACATCATCACACACCCTGTTATACCTTGTACCTGAACAATAAACAACATCAATGATACACAATCCTAATTCATTATGTATAACATGACACTGATTTAGTTAATTGCTATTAAACATCAACAGTTCATTTCAACTACCTACTGTTAACCCAAACAATGGGTCAAGCGTCCTAAGGTTCAGAAATAACAAGTTTAAAACTCATGTATCTTGACAATGCCATACTATAAACAGAACAATTATAAAGATTACTAATAAATTAGAGTAAAATCACTCTTCTGTATTAGTGCAAGACAAAAAACAGGAAACACATAAAAAAGAGATCTATGGATAAAATCAATAACATGAATTCATGGATTTAAGTAAGTAAAGATAAATCATTCCTCACTAATATTTATTATGTACTATTCAATTGTGCTCTTTTGATATTTTTGTGTCTGTACGTTGGAATGATCACTAAATTCCACCAAATACATGGAACAAAATCCACAAACGATATTACGTTGCACAGGTTAACTAGACTCATACATGCATGTACATACAGTAGCAACACACTGCACGCAATGCAGGAACACTGTCGAAAATTAATGCCACACAAGTGAGTGATTCAGGCCAACTAGGCCTATTGTTGTCACATAAATTTGCCATCAAGTAGTGTCAGGGATTGCCCTATAATAAGCCATGTTAATTGGTTTTGATGCTTGATCTTCCTTTTAATAATGAAAAGATGCAGCAGGCCTGTCACATGCTATCCAAAGCACTTTGGTAAAGTGTCATCCCAAGAACACCTTAATGCCATTACAGCTCATGATCATCATCCTTAGAAACCTGCTTTGGTTACAGACTGGCAAATTTTCTACTTACTTCACTATCATGACCCAAGTATCATTTGCATTTATCATCAACTTTTGGTTTCTACTGAAGTATTTGATTAATAATAATTGTGCAATTCTCCTTTCAGATTGTAGACCTGAACTCGAATACGGAGCTGGAATGGCTTGCAAACCACATGGGGCATACACTTTCGGTACATCGCCAGTACTATCGTTTGCAAGACCAAACACTGGAGCTTGCTAAAGTTAGCAAGCTGCTGATAGCATCGGATGCAGGACAGGCGCACAAGTTCGCAGGGAAATCCCTGGACAACATTGCTTTGGAAGGTATATATATATATTTAATATCGGTCAATAAAGCCTGAGGTTTTAGCCCATTCAAATCACCTGTTGTTCATACTTCTGTCTGTCCATAAACAATTCTTGTTACTGCTGTTTCTCAAGAACTACCAGATATAGTTTCACCTCGATGTGTAGTTGTGCATTACACTTTTTTTCTGGTTGATTAAAAATGCATGTACATACAGTAGCAACACACTGCATGCAATGCAGGAACACTGTCGAAAATTAATGCCACACAAGTGAGTGATTCAGGCCAACTAGGCCTATTGTTGTCACATAAATTTGCCATCAAGTAGTGTCAGGGATTGCCCTATAATAAGCCATGTTAATTGGTTTTGATGCTTGATCTTCCTTTTAATAATGAAAAGATGCAGCAGGCCTGTCACGTGCTATCCTAAGCACTTTGGTAAAGTGTCATCCCAAGAACACCTTAATGCCATTACAGCTCATGATTATCATCCTTAGAAACCTGCTTTGGTTACAGACTGGCAAATTGGCAGGGCCCAATAGGTTAAATCAGAGACGTATATAACACAGAGACTGGAAACTCCCGCAGTTCTCGTGATACCACGCACGTCCTATTGTCTTCTCGAAGGAAATGTATCGAGTGCGAGATTTGGTTGTGCGCTTGCGCTGTAAGGCGGAACTGGCTTTCCGTGTGTTGTTTTGACAGTAATCATCACATGGTTTAGCGATAACGATGAAGGCGACGATGGTCTGGTAATTTCTTTCACGCATGAATCTGACTATGTATTTGTCAGTTCATGCCATCATGTCACCTCACCTAATGTATTGTTATGGAGTATCTGTGCCCATTTGGCATTATATCCAAAATAACAGAGGAGAATGTAGTGACTTTAAAAATAAAAACAATTGTTATTGCTTCTTGTGTATCTTTTGTATAATCATTAGTCATCATGGACCTCAGTGTCATGTTTACCTCATAATCTAGTGAATTTTCTGTTTGTAAAATAAAAACTTTCCATATGTTTGATCGACTTGATATTAAAAGGGTTTCATCAAAAGATATCAATAAAATTGAAACAATCATTTGATTAAAATTCAATATACTAGTTAAAACACAGTTGTTTGCATTATTGTGGAGCACTGGCAATGATTGTGTTAATATCCTCGTATCTTTTGAGTTCCCCTCCACGTAAACTACCTATATTCTGTTGTAAAATAATAAACTTTCCATGTGTTTGATCGACTTGATATTAATAGGATTTCAGCAAAAGATATCAAAGAAAATACAATAATCATCTGATTAAATATATGTATACTAGTGAAAACAAAGTTGTTTGCATTATTGTGACCAGCGAGTGTGTCTATATCAACTCGCACCATGTGCTTTCCTCTCCACGTGACATTTTGTTTATCTTTGATAACGCATATTATACTTAAAATGTTCATGCAATAACACAAAATATATACAGAGGCATTTTATAACACCAGTCCAGATAATAACAATACAACTTATGTTTAATTTTCGTCCTTTTCACCACAAAAATTGTCTTGAAAAAGCAGCGTATCTTTGATGACTTCGAAGCGTTAAAACAATATGGCGACGAGTTGGCGTCGAATGTCTACTTCTGGTACTATAGCATTATGGTAAGCTATAGAGAGAGTTTCCTATCTCTGTGTTATATACGTCTCTGGTTAAATATAGCAACTCTTTTAAAATCCTTCTTCTTCTGTAGGAATAAAAGGAATTGTTGCATATCAGGTGTAGAGCATCCTTGGGTGAATTTTGTATAAATGGTGGGGCCAGGGGCCAATGTCTTTCCCTGTTTGCCATTTACTGGTTCTCAAGATATTTTCTTGTTCATATTGCATTTGCTATTTCTGACAATGAGATCCAGGTAAGTGATACAGGCCCCTTGAACCTCTTGTATAATTTTTATATTTAATTCATGATAATACTATTAATTTGTCGCTTGATAAAATAGATTTTGAAATATATAAATAGTAAATGAATAAAATAAAAAAAACTGTGGTCAGTGGATTTTAACTCGCTATGCTGAAACTGGAAGTTCTTGGCAGTTTCTGAGCATTGAATTATGGGAAAACTACATTCGATGGTGTGGATTACGTTGAAAAAGTGCATTAAAAGAACGTTTGAATGATGTTTTGTCAAAGCATTTCCAAAGAAATGATGCCTAACTTATAAAATTAAGACATTATTGTAGAATATTTACCCTTTAATAACAGATTTTATGCACAAACTTTCTTGCTTAATGTGATGGCATGACACCAGGCATGGAGGTTTTATGGGGGTAGACAGCGTGTTCTGTTGTGGCTTTCTGATAGGAAAGTGGTACAACAGGGAGCTCAATATATAAGCATAAACAGCCAGACAAAGATATTAATCCAATTTATCATCCCACAAATGTGTAATTTTGCAGTTGTAAACACATACAAGATATTTACATACATGTATATGTCTAAAACTCAGGTGAACGTTAATGCCCATGGGCCTCATATCTTCAAATACGGTTTACTACTGGGGTAATCTTTAGTTTGTCTGTTTATTTAAAGTGCTCAGTAATGTTTACTATTAGGTATTCTTAAATCTATTAGATAAAACACAATATACATGTTAACCAAGCAGAACAGTCTTGGGTAAGTCGTTTTATTGACTCCAGCCCTTTGTTGTTTATTGCTGGACAATAACTGGTTTCTATTTTGACTGATTGTGACAATTTATTTTTAATTATTACAGATGTTGAGTACTTTCCAGAAGAAGAGGACGAATCTTTGAATGGTCAGTATACATAAAATATATTAAAAAGAGTAATTTAAATTTCCACTGTTATGCAGATTTTCACTAAACTTTGAGCTTTCAATAACAAATTTGTGATCATGCAATATCTTCTTAAATGGACTAAATCATTAGATTTTGGTCATTTTATTCGCACATTGCTTTCTGGCACATGTTGTAGTACTTAAAATTAGACTGATGAAAAATTTGTTCCTCAACAGTCAATGTTGTGATTGAATGAAACTTTGTTGTTTTGGTCGGAGACAGCCGAGTATCTCACATGATCTTCCGCAACCTCATTCACACCTGGGCAACATGGTAATTGTAAACATTTGCCACGTGTTGCTGTATAGCTTATGCAGCTATACATGGAATCAATAAGTGCAAGTCCCATGTGGATTCACAGGTACGGATTAAAATTAAAAATAATAACATTCCATGGTAAGATTTAGGACCTCTCTGTTGGTCTGGGATCTGCAAGGAAACTATTTACACTTCACGCTTCAGTTCTTGCATAGCTTGCCACAAACATGTTATTTGACTCACAAAATTTGGGGTCTTTCAATATATCAAAATGAGGCAAACAGTTCTGGAAGTGTCAGTTAAGTCCAAGCCTGATTGAATCAATATCTTAATCAGCTTTGCCTCATCAACTGTAGCGGAACATTTTTGGTAAGATAAGTTGTGTCATCGGCCATTTTTGTAAAATGGGCTAAATATTTGAGGCAATTTGATTGTTCAAAAACAAAATTACTCATTAACAATGGAAACACTCTCTGTCTATTTTTAGATGCAGGTTACTGGACTCATGAGCCAGACTTGGTCAAGTCACCTCTCTTGCATTTAGCCACTTGTATAATAATTAGGATTGTCATTGGATTACTACAATATCTGAGGCACCTACCATTGCAAGGGTAATTTTGGAACACATACATCATGGCTCTCACACCCCATTTTGGGACTGGGGCCCGGGGCCTTTAGAATTGGGGAATGTTTTCCTTAGAATTTGGGGTCTGAATTGGGAAAAAAAGGTACTATTTTGCATTGGGAATATTTGGCCCCAAATCTGGCAGATAGAGAGCCCTGTATTTATATCATTGATGGTCATAAAGTTCCAGGTGATCGATACACGTAATACAGGCTCACTGGTTATGAATTTCAGATGTCGTTGAAGGTGAGGAAATATCAAAGGATGATGATTATGTGGATGATGGTGTTGACACAGCTGACATCAGTGGTGATCATGGTAATTTGAAATGTTTGATATATTGCTTGTTTGAATTCTTTGAAAAATTACCTGTTTGTAAAAAACAACTGTTCAGAATTTATCATACACAATTTCCTGCGATCAAAAACTAGGTCACTGTTACTCTTAATACAAAATCAAGCAATACTTCAATGTCGACACACTACAGGCTGCAATTCTCATCCGATTTTAATGAAACTTCACGCGCATGTTCACCACCAACACCGCTTGTACGAGTTTGCATTTCAACTCCCTATGTTCAAAAACTAGGTCAGTTTGAATACTCTTCTGACCATACCACCATTTGCAGCATTTGATTAAAAGGTAAACAATATCTCAAGTTTTGAAATGATATTTTGTAATAAAATTATTAAAGTGGTAGTAATATTAACATTTACAATACAACTCCCATGCACATTTCAGCTGATTATTCAGCCCATTACAACCCCTTATACAGTCAAACAAACATTTCTTGGTGTGTCAAAGCTTTTTGTTCCTATATTTTTGTTTCAAGTTATTTCATGGACCATTAGCTACGATTTTATACCAAATGACACTTTATGATTCAAACAAAAAGTTTACCTGTACAATGTTACAGGTGTTCAGTCTTGCAGCAGATCTACCGAAGATGACAAAGGGATTATGATGTTTACTCTGTATAACAAGGTTAATAATTGGCTGGACACAAATTAAGTCTAATTGCATACTCACAAGCCGTAACCAACAACAACAATGGATGTTGTTTGATGTTTACCACCGCCACTGCGGAAATAGCATATAGTGTAGAAAATGTACGAAACTTTGCAAACATGCAGAGTAAATTACATAGACTAGTACCATGTTTTACATACACTTCCAGGTTGTAAACATTATCATTTGATTTTGAAATACATAATGTTTGTCATGTACACACTGTAGCTATCGCAGAAAATGTAAACCTATGTATGTACTGTCTTTGATTTCTCAAACTTTATTAAACATAATATGTTGCTTGATGAAAAAAATATGTATTATTAATAAAAAACATCACTTTGAATCTAAACAGCTTTGATGATGAAAAACAATGAACATAATGTTTGTCATGTACACAGTTTTTTTGTTAATCCCTTGAACTTTGATTCACCAAAATTGACTGTATATAGCATTTCATATAAGGTAGCAGTACACAGTTTCTCTGTGTTGATTTTTTCTTATTAGATTACCCCTTATAAAGGTTTTAATTAAACATGAAAAAAAAATGTTGCTAAAATTGGTCCTGTCATGTAAAAAAATATGTATTTTTTTCAGGATAATATAAAAAACATCACTTTACGCACCAAAAACTAGCTTTACAGGAAGTGAAATGTTCATAGTGCTTTGATGATGAAAACGAGTTGGAATTTGCTAAAATGTAAGTACTTTGTTACCATGACAGTGTTGTTGATTGTAAGATAGGTGTTTAGAATTAAATTTCTCCTAGAAAATTGTAGTCTTGGGTTGGAATTAGCAGTATTTTTGCATTTTTAGCATTTTTTCAGTAGGTAACCATGACAATCAAATGTCAGAAATCAGAGGAAATTTTTTTTACACAAATTTCATCTCTCTACTGTAATGTAATGTAATTGTTATGCAGTTTATAAATATATATACAATATGTATTTTTCATTCTGCTATACCTGTATATCTCAAACATGACAAATAATTTCAGGAAAAATGCAAATTAACTGTTTACTGCTACCTAAGTATCAGGCACGCGAGAGTGTTTGTATTTTCAGCAATGCCTTGTTATCTTACCAGTATACATCAATAGGCAATAAATAGTACCTCATTCTTAATTAATGGTTTTACATTAACATATTTAGATTGTCAAAACACTGATTAAGAGAATAAGGGCTATTTTGAGATATCTTATATAAAAATGGGTTATTTTTTTCAGGAGTTACACCAAAGAAGCAGACAAAAGGTTCACAAAGAAAGCCATGGATTAAAGAAGACAGACTTCTGTTGAAACGGGTTTTCTTCCACTGCTTGACAACAAAGAAAACACCAACAAAAAATGACATAATGCTAGGTGTGAGAAAGAATGAAAAGATAAAAGCACTTGTTAAAGAAAGAGGATGGAAAGCAGTAAAGTACTATGTATGGAATTTGGTGCAACAGCACCAAAAGCAACAAAAGAAGTTACTGGCTAAGTGAATTATTCCAGACCTGCACTTGGAAACAATTATGGACCCTTATATCTTGGGGCCATTTTAGTAACCTAACATTCTGTAGGAGACATTCTTAATGTTCTTTTTATGTTTCTATCTACTATAAGTCTGTTTAAGGGTACTATTATATTTGCCTTACTGTATTGAGATGTTGAAATCACCCTTTGTAATCTGTCCATTTGACTTTCTCCCTTGAAATGCAATTTTGGGACAGATTGAAATAGCAAAATAGTTGAGATGCAGCCATATCATATTAGATTTAAAAGCCGATATCACCTTTTTCAAATTTCTTATTTAGACTCTTCATAGATGTGGATGGTCAGGCAGCTTGTTTAGCTTATCTTTTGAGAACTTTGAGATATACCAGTATCATAAACATGTATGTTAGAGGCTGATCAGAAAAATAAAATGACAAGTAGGTGGCTATTTTGAAAGTTGAAATTAGTTAATGCTTATTGCTTTCAAATTTCATCTGCATATTTCCTTTGGTGTGTAGGTGTGCAGGATCATTTTTAGCACTGGTCTGAAACATCATATGCTTACCTGAAATCCATTTGGATTTTGACAATTAGGAGTTGAGGCTGTTATTTCTTGATTAGTAAAATTGGATCAATTTCTTATGTTTTCCCTTGATCAAGTTATGCTTGTTCAAATTTGGTAATTATCAGATCTTTGATTTTGAATGTTATGGTTTGTTACCATTATTTCTTAACAATTTATTATGTAGATTCAGCTTGGTGCATAGTTGTGCATGATTAAAATGAGAAAATAATGACCACAAGGTGCCATCATGGAATTTTACGACTGGTGTTGGTTATTTCAAATGTTAAATACTGGATTCTCCAATTCCGTATGTAGGTTCCGCATGAAAGATCGACTGATAAAGAAGTAAAAAAGATACATTGAAGGCACTCGTGGATACATGTTAAACCTATTAATTCAAAGGTTATGGTTGTTGGACTTGAGATCTAGATAGTCCTGTCAAGTAGCCTGGTCCAAATGTAAAAATTGTATGATGATAACAAAACTAATTTGGTTTCACTATTTAAACTTAGATCATCAAGTTCAAAATGGCACTATAACCAAGAATGTATGGCAGGTACTGCAGATTGTTTGCAAAGCATCAAATTTTGCCAGCACAAGTGGAAGACAGATTTAGTTCCATGTAGTACAATTAGCAATCCTTTCATTTTATGAAAATACAAGTTTTTCCGAGCTTTGCCTATGCAGCATAAAGAGCCGGCCTTGTTTTTCAGCCAAGACTTGGTTACCTCTAAGGATTAATTGTCATTGTATGTACAATTTGCGTTTTTTTACTTGGGTTGGAAGTCGTATAATGTCATGTCCAGTTTTAATTGGAACTCTAAATTCAAATTCAGCAGGTAAATTGGTTTATTCATTGTTCTAAGCTTAGATCAATAACAGCATCATTTTCAACATAAAAGAAATGGAAAACGAAAATAAAAGTTTGCCTACTGAATTCAAATTTTGTCTGGCATCTGTCCTTTGAACCTTTACATTTTCAACTTAAAAGCTACTGAATAACTTTCAATAAAATCATGCTGAAACCTCCTATGGCCAAACAAGGAACCAAATTTTTTTAATTAATTGGTCATCAGGGGCCCGAGAGATGGGTAAAACATGGGTCAAGTTGACTAAAATTATTGAAATCTTCTCAAAACCCACGTATGGTAGAAACAAATCGGTTTAGTTATTATTACTGAATGGTAATTTGATATCTCCAGACTGATTTATATTGACCTGACAGAAAGGGCCAAAGGGCCGGTTTCCAAAACGGCCCCTTCTCTGATTCAAATGTCCTTTTGGTGGTGCATTGCCCATACCGTTGTGGTCACAAATCTATAAAGTATAAAGATGTAGGTCACTTGGTTTGTTTTTTATGGCTCCTCAAAGTTGTACATTTCAGAAGCTGTCTAAGTGTTGATAAAATGTGCATGTTATGTAAAATATAACTTTGAAAATCTAATCAAATGATAGTCACCGTATATAAGAATACATTCATGGCATGATTGTGACAAAAAATCATGTTTCCATCGCGCCATTTGGCTGTTTTATGGAAGAAACAATCTCAAAAATGCCATTTTCGATGATAACATTTTAGACACAAACATTTTTTGTCATTACCATCCTTTGTTCATTTGCATGTACAAGTAAGTACTTTAAGTAACGAATAAATCCTTCAAAACTCCTTACTTGTTTTAATCAATACATATTCACCAAATGCTTCATTTTTTCTCCTTCAAATGATTGAAGGTACTGAAATTATGCTGGTTCTGAATCTTTTGTTACGAGTCATAATTTCTATATCATTGAAATATCTAGACAAATCTTGCAATATGCTTGTATTATTAGCTGACCTGGTCCAAAAGACGAAGGTGAGATATTTTGATTTCTTTAATCGACTTAATGATTAATGGTGGGAAGCATCTTTAGGAGGCAGGATTCGTATTGTACAAATGAAGTGGCTGATCCCCTAGGGGTCTGATGGGTGGGGTCCAATTGGGGATAATTTGGCCGTATTGATTTAAGCATTTTCTTCAGTGGAACTGTAAAAAACTATCAATTATATTTGGCTTGAAATACCTTCAGGAGATGGGATTCATAATTGTACAAATGGAGGGGGTACCACCTTCTACCCCAGGGGCTTGATGGGCGGGGTCTAAAAAGGGTGGTCATATTGCTTTAAGCAGAATTTCTCTTCATCTGAGAGACAGCATACAAATGAGGTTGTAAGGAGACTTCCAGTAAACCCAAGAATTTCTGCCTTCGTCTGCGAAATATGATTAAGTAAAAGTAATGAGAAGACTCCTCGTAAAACGGACTTATTTTCATCAGTGAGATGATTAAGTAAATGTTATGAGGCGACTCCCCGTAAAATGATATATAATTTCTCTCTTCATCAGTGAGATGTTTCAGTAAAGGTTATGAGGAGACTCCCAGTAAAATATTAGAATTTCTCTCTTAAACAGTGAGATGTTTCAGTAAAGGTTTTGAGACTCTCCGTAAATGTTAGAATTTCTCTCTTCATCAGTGAGACGATTTATTAAAGGTTATGAGGAGACTCCCCGTAAAATGTTAGAATTTCTCTCTTCATCAGTGAGTGGATTTAGTAAACGTTATGAGGAGACTCCTCGTAAAATGTTAGAATTTCTCTCTTCTCTTCGTAAAATATTAGAATTTCTCTCTTCAGTGAGATGATTTATTAAAGGTTATGAGGAGACTCCCCGTAAAATGTTAGAATTTCTCTCTTCATCAGTGAGATGATTTATTAAAGGTTATGAGGAGACTCCCCGTAAAATGTTAGAATTTCTCTCTTCGTCAGTGAGAGGATTTATTAAAGGTTATGAGGAGACTCCCCGTAAAATGTTTGAATTTCTCTCTTCGTCAGTGAGATGATTTATTAAAGGTTATGAGGAGACTCCCAGTAAAATGTTTGAATTTCTCTCTTCGTCAGTGAGACGATTTATTAAAGGTTATGAGGAGACTCCCAGTAAAATGTTAGGATTTCTCTCTTCATCAGTGAGAGGATTTATTAAAGGTTATGAGGAGACTTCCCGTAAAATGTTAGGATTTCTCTCTTCATCAGCTTCATGTTTCTTTGAAATTCCTGAAAAGTAATACCTTTTATAAGGGAAATGAGTGACCTGCCCTTGATCTATGGAAAAGGTCGGTTTCAGCTCCGGAAGAAAACCTTATTTTTTTTTATTTTTTCCACGACGTTACTACAATTCCTTGTTTAATTTTCTTCAAGAAGATTATTACTACACTTCACACGTGAAGAAACCAGACCCTAAAACAGAATGAAGGATAGGGAAGAAAAAAAAATGGCTCAACCATCATATGCATAGATGACAACAATGGCGGACGGTCAGGTGAGAAACACGGCCAAGCCAGTTTTCATAAAAGAAATTGACATATTTGGTGTGAGAAATCCCCCAAAAGAACAGTGGTTAAGCCATGTAGAAGTATATAAAGCTATGGCGAAAATTGTCCCTGCAGAAAACATCTCTGGCCTTCAGCGCGTACGTAGCCTGTGGCGTATATATATGGACAGTAACGACACAAGAGAACTGTTTTTAACTAGTGAGTTCTGTCATTAAGAGAGTTAGAATAAAGAATGTCCCTCTGTCAGCCGATGATGGCCAGATAAGGCGGGCCCTATCGCTAAAGGGCTGTAATCTAAAAAAACTTGTTCAGGGAAAAACTAAGAGTGGGCGGAAGGTTGACAAATTGTGAAACCAGTGACAGGATCGCCATTGTTAGTGACCTATTTGACCCTCTTCCAAAACTAATGGAAATAGGTCGATACAGGGCCGTGATTGTCCATAGAGGTCAAGTAAATGACAAACTCAAATGTACCAAGTGCTTGGGTTCCGGTCATATATCTAAAGATTGTCGGAAGGAGGTAGTTTGCCATTCATGTAAAATGTGTTGACATCTCGTGGCCGACTGTCCTGAAAACTTAAATCAAGATCAGGAGGTAACATCCAGCAGTGATGAAAGTGAATCTGACCCCATCGTTGGCGATACCGAGGCGGAACAAGAGCATCTTCGTGATCCAACTCTTAATCGCGACATTCATACGGACGACGAAAAACAGCCAAAGCAGTCGAGTACAACGAATCTGGAGACAAAAGTAAAAAAACACAGTAAAAAGGATAAAGGGACCAAAGACCCCAAGCCAAATCCTAGAGGTACGCTGGACAGCTTTATACAAAATAAAGGATCCGGTACACCATAGTCATCCAGGAAATCCTCTAATGTCAGCAAGGAAGAAGATCCCCTCTAAGCCCTTTAAATGATGAAAGGTCATCGAAAAAAAACTAAGGACATTGGTTAGACAGCTGTCCATACATAGGACACTGTACAGTGTGTAGACTAACTATCCAAAGTGTCAGATACCTATGGAAAATAACACAAAGTGAAGTATATATACAATCAAAAAGTTTTTTAATCAAATGATAC